TCCCTCTTTCATCAGAAGATTCGGAATCTAGTTATGGTGAGCTTATCGAAGAAAAGGTAAGCAAAACTATACCATGCAGTTGTTGGGGGCGACTGCAATGTCCTGGAAGCGCATTCGAAGCAGCTGCGTGTTCATCAAGGAGAAATGAACGTATTATAGAGACAAATACCTCTTCGATTTGATCGGATGTTTTGGATCCAGCCATTGACAAATATTTTCCAGACATTTGGGTCAACTGGCTATGACATCGGATTAGAGGACCAGGACGAGTTCGCGCTCCAAGACGATTCGTTGGTGTATGGGAAGGTTGCTAATGAGTCTGATGGTGTCATGGAATGCATGGACGAGGCCAACAGCAATAGCGGTATGTTATCAGAAAATTCATGCAGCATTGAATTGAACTGATGACTGTAGGCAACGCAGACAACCGAGAGGCTATGGAACATCACCTTCAGATACCCTCCCTGATGCTGACCTACCCGACTCCGGAACAAAGCAAGTCAAGCGGGTTTTCTGACTCGCACAACACCTCCGAAGGGAGGGGAGAAGGCTTTCCTAGAAGTTCCAGTTCGGGTCAGGTGGTTGAGGAGACCACGTACGAAGCACGCAATGGCACTCCCACTTTGTGGTCCAATACAGTGGAATCTTCTGTGAATACGACTGATGGAAGAGGGCTGGGTGTTTCTATGGACGTTGATGAGCATGGACAAGGCGTGAGGACTAACCAATGGATGGGTAAAGGCCCCTCTACATTGAATGGGACGAAACAGGGTGGCACTAGGGCTCCTGAGGACAGAACCTCGAGGAAAAGGTGGCCATTAACGTCGATTCGAAGCAAGAAGAGCAAGGCGTGTGGAGTGTCATCCGGCACTCGTGATCGTGCTTTTACAGAGTCGCTGTGGTCCCGGATATCTGGAACTCTTCTGCGAAGAAAGGAGAGCCGTTCGAGAGGATCGAGGGCGCAGGAACACACATACCTTGCTGTCAATGAAGCACAGTCGATAAACCTCCGGACACAGCAGGAAAGCGGAGTGGCCAGTGCGGCTCTTGGTAATTCCTCGAATGGGATCTTTCACAGCGAACGAAACACTGGTACATCAGCCGTTGAGCAGACACGTGTGCTGGGAGAAGCTAGTTCATCGGGGGTAGAGTCGCAGGAGCGTCCCAATGGCATGGAAAGCCTTCAGAATAGATTCCAAAGAAGTCTGGCGAGGAGGAAAGCTGGTTTTCGTAGTTCGGTTGTTGCCCACACATCGTCAAGCAGGAAGAGGTTCAGCGCCCTGTTTCGATCTGGCGACGAGACCCAGGTCGGCTGCAGCATTCCACCTGAGATGACTTGAATCGGTCGTCCGAATAAAAGCGAAGGCGTATGGCGCGCGCCCTTTCCTGTGTACCGGTTACCTCGACCTGGCAATACCCTTGGCTACTATCGACAATCATTCAAGCACCATCGCCTGTTGATCACTGTACTCTGCGACACCTCCTGGATCCTTGGTATTCGGTTCTAGGCTTGCTGATGTTTTCTTTTTCTGATTATCGGGCTCACGAAACATGGTCGTTTGGGGTTGGATTGCATGGAGGTTTGGGTTAGGGAGGGGGAACAACCATGACTATGTTTTGTTGCTGATGTTTTGCTTCTTCTTGGCACGATTACGTTATTCGTTGAAACAAAACAGCGGTATGCCTTTAAGGCCGTCACGTTGAAATGAAATAAATGCAAAATTCCTATGGAGCTCCGCTGGGCGTCATAAGCGAAAAATGGAGGATTTGAGAGGATGAAGAAACAAAGGTAGAACTGGGGCGAGCCTCTGGGGTGTGTCGGCTGTCTCCGGCTGTTGATCGGAGGGTTCGCATGTGCCTTTGGCAGAAATGAAGTCAGACGAAAGCGTACCGTTCAATCGTTTCGCCCAAGCTCATCGACCGTTGTATTGGGTTCGTCGCCCTCTCTTCCGGTTCCCTATTTATGCTCGAACCCAGTGGGCTCACTCCTCTTGCTTGCCCCCCATGTTAGGTTACAGCAACACCACTCCCCCTGCTGGCGAACCCGCTGCACCTCGCAGACCATGGTCTGAGCGATTAAAACAAGCTGGCAAAACAACTTTGCATCACTTAAAAAAGCATACTGGCGTCGGTGCCGTCTGCGCGGTTGCATACTTCGACCCGTACGTGGCATTTCTTGTTGAGCGGGTTGACGACGTGCTGATTTCTGTTTGTCGAATAGCGGAAATTGGGGCGTAGACCTTGCTGCTGGTTCCCAGTTTGGTTATCGGCTTCTTTTCGTGGTACTGCTCGCTGGTATCTTCGCTGTATATCTGCAGGTAGGGCGCACTGATTCCTTATCGATAAGACCATCGCTGACGAACTGTGCGTTGTGCACATCGCCAGATCCTGGCCAGTCGTCTGGGATGTGTTACTGGTGTTGGTAGGTATCCCGATCTTCAGCCGTCTTCTCGCCAAAGCATTCTTCTCTTCGTTCTTAATATTTCCGTGATTTTTGTTCAATTACCGTCATTGTTTGACCGTGGGTTTCCACCCTCTCCCGTCCGCCCTTGCTGGGCGGTCGACTATTTATAACAACAGGATGCATTAGGCTGTCAGGACCTATATCGCCCATGGAGGTGCATTTACTTAGGCACGCTTACGGACGCCATCTCCCTTTCTTGGATAACCCTCTTTACCAAAGACACTAACGATGCCTTTTCAGATTTGGCGGGGCACAGTCGCTTGTTATTGTATAATCGACCCAAGAACCCTCGCCTCTGGAGATGGCTCGCGCTCTATCCTCTCTATGTGCTTGCCGAAGTCGCGATCATTGCAACAGACTTGGCAGAACTCCTGGGGTCGGCCATAGCTCTTTGCATGCTTTTCCCCCGCCTTGAATTATGGCACGGTGTCCTCATCACGGCGTTTGACGTCATCATCATTCTGGCCTTCCAGGATCCTCTTCGAGGACGCCCTGTTAGGTGGTTTGAAGCCCTTATCGCTGCGATGGTAGGTCCTAACCTGAATTTGCTTAAGACCTCGTGCTCACTCTCGCGTTTAGGTGGTAGCTGTCCTTGTGTGCATGGTCATTGTCATCGCGAAGCTGGACGTACATTGGGGCGATGCGTTCTTTGGATACGTTCCGTCCAAGTATATCTTTCAATCTGGAGGTCTTTACACTTGCGAGTATCCCTTCATTTTGCCAGCACTCTCAGAAACTTACTTTATCTTCCTTCAGCGGTCGGTATTCTTGGCGCAACCGTCATGCCCCACAGTCTATTCATAGGATCTGCCCTGGCAACCCAGGACCGCATCGAGTTCCGTGAAATGAAGAAGGATGTGTGGTACGACGGTGACTCTGACCGCACTTCTTTTGAGGGGGAAGCCTTACCACTCTGGAAGCGTGTGGTGCGAGCCATAAAGAAGAACGTCATGAGCGCGTTCTCCAAGCCTCCCCCTAGCTTTTACTCCCAAGCGACGAAGCACTCCGAACACGAGAATAACCCCTACGCATTTGTGCGGGCCCACATCTATCACGGAATCATTGACGTCGCGGGGAGCCTTTTAGGATTCGCGGTCCTTATCAATTCACTGTGAGTTCCGGTTGTTTGTATTCCAACAATCGGAAAGGAAATTAACTAACATTTGTACGTAGCATCCTTATCCTTGCCTCTGCGGTGTTCTTTTACGGCGACCAATGGTCTGGAAATGGAGATCCTGCTAGTCTCTTCGATTGTTATGACCTTATCCGGGACCTTGTAGGCCAAAGTGAGTGTTCTATTTCTTCGCAAATTTCCCCAGCGGTGCTTATCAATCCTGCCTTCTAGGTGCTGCGACATTGTTCGCTGTCTCGCTTTTGGCATCTGGCCAGGTAAGGTTTACCATCATGTTAGCGTGGATGGCTCTCTAACAAACCGGGTTATCGTCCTTCTAGAGTTCTTCTCTCATTGCCACTGTTGCCGGTCAAGCTGTTTCCGAAGGGTTCTTGAAGTGGCGTGTTTCTGTAAGCCTTTCCGTTCCCGTCGCGATGAGATGATAACTAAAGCTCCTTTGTCAGCCCATCGTTCGCCGATTGCTTACCCGACTCCTGGCTATCATTCCTTCGATGACGGTTGCAGTTGTGGTTGGCCGACAAGGAATTGATGCCCTCCTCGTTGCCTCGCAGGTTGTGCTGTCTGTGGTGCTGCCATTCATCACATTCCCGTTGCTTTACTGCACAGCGAGCAAGGCAATAATGACCGTGAAGCGGCGTAAGGAGAAGGTCCTGGACTCTTCCTCTTCGAGTGTTGACCTGGGACTTGTGGAAGGAGATTCGTCTGGGATCGTTGCCCCCGTTCTTGATCGAAACGGGAACGAGAGCGCAATCCAGATCCAACAAAATGGCGACGCAAAAGCTTCTGCCGACTCCGTGGTGAAAATCGCTTCTCCGCCTGGTTCGCCCACGGTGAAAGATTCACCTCAAAATGTCCACGTGGGGAGCGTGGAGGGTGCGGACGAATATGAATATGTGGACTATAGCAACAACAAGCTGACGATTGCGATTGGAATTGTGATCTGGCTAGTTGTTGTGGCGGCGAACGTGTACGTGTTGATTGATTTGGCCATTGGGGCGGGAAGTGGATAGGTGATTGAGGCAACGGACTGTTGCTGCCGTTGTTGGCTTTGATGTTTAATGATTCGTGACCGACGGCTATGTACTATATATGAGAGCATGACCAACTTGATGCCTGGTCGCTAGCTTCTACCTCCTGCGATACGTTTTTATGACCCTTACTACTAGATATTTGAAGATTGTCTTTCTTGTCTGTAATTGTGTAATTCCGCTAAAGCTTACGAAATATGTTGAGAATAGATACACAAATGACTGTAACGGATCGCCCGTGTCGCGATGAAGGGTTGTGAGCATCTCTGAGGCCTGAGGCCCAGGACCCAAGTGCGCATCAAATTAAGTCGGCACTCTCGCCTTTGGCCTGCAGGTACCTTGAGTCTCAGTGGGAAAGGAAAACGTTACCAATATCTCTTTGTTAGTATATCGGTTAGTACACGCGCCTGTCATGGATTTCCATAACGCGCGAAAGCTGTGTTCGACTCCCAGACAGAGAGCTTGCGTTGCATTTTGCCCCAACGAAGCAGAGTACCTGGGATCAGGTGTAACTTTGCGTTATTGTTTTCCACAATTCTGGAGTCTGCGCTACTTTACCTTCGGATTTTTAACGCAGATCGGCCAGTAATTTATGCAATTGCAAATACCAGTTTTCATGCTCGTAAAGTGATCCGGCCTATTCTAGTTTCTAAATGAGTTTCTTCAAGTTGGCCGGAATTGCGTTGGAAGTCCGTTTGGGCGCAAAGTTTCGTCGATTGAGTGGGAGGGTGATCATGCTGAAGGGCCTTTCAATTTCCAACTCAGGCCGAGCAAGGTTTGTGTCAGAATATGAATATGGATTTTCTCTGAGCTTATGTATGGCTCCTCTGTGAGCTTGAGTCCTATCGCAACTTGTTGCCTCAGTAGGAATGCCGCATGACTTAGTCGTCATGGGTGCAGAACTAACAAGTCTTTGTTAGTATTTCGGTTAGTACACGCGCCTGTCATTACACAACGACCGCGCGAAAGCTGGGTTCGACTCCCAGACAGAGAGATAGCTTTGACCTCAATCTCCTTTTTTGCAATGGAGCAAAATTCACCAGAGCTCGTGCACAGTGCACTCTGGTTATGACTTTTGGCAAGCTGGGATATGTTCAGATTCGTTTCGAAGCAGGGAGAATCGCAATACGGAGGGCGTCGCCTTGACCCCATTGGGAAGGGGTCCTTCCACATCTGGCGGTAAAGCTGGACCATAATATATCTTTGTTAGTATATCGGTTAGTACACGCGCCTGTCATTACACGACGACCGCGCGAAAGCTGGGTTCGACTCCCAGACAGAGAGTTCAAATGGGTGAAAGCCTGAATTTTGCACCTGAATAGAATAACGATTTTTGCACCACACCCCCTACGGTGTATGTACGAGAAGACCGCTGTGCACACAACTTTACAACTAACTTTCTATGAATAGGTTATTACAAACTTTGGATTCAAACATGTTGTTACAATGCTCTGGAGACTGGCAGCTGGAATATTGCTAATGGCATTACAGTCTCTGTCTCCCATAGATATCCAATGCTGTTCGTCCGTAAGTTTCCCAATCTGCTGGTTTGTTGTCCAGAATTTTTTCGATTCGCTCTTGGATCTCGGGGGTAAGCTTTGGGAGGACTTCGAGTGCTTTGAGGTTGTCGAGAACTTGCTCTGGTGAGCTGGCTCCAATGATGACCGTCCCTGTGTTGGGGTTGCGGGCTACCCAGGCGAGGGCGAGTGCAGCAGGGTTGGTGCCGAGTTCTGCAAACGGGAACCAGAGTTCAATAGGCTCCTCGCAAAAGGAGTGACATTAGCAACGTACCTTCAGCCAGTTTCGTCAATTCTTGCACCTTGCGAATCTTTACCTGACCTTCGGGGGTCTTGAGCTCTTCGACGGTCTTGCTGAAAAATTCGGGGTGATTTTCGAATCGGGAATTGGTCGGGATTCCGTTGTTGTACTTTCCAGTGAGGAGGCCTGAGGCGAGGACGCTGAATGCGGTTGTGCTGATGCGGTAGTTTTCGTAGAGGGGCTGGTATTCCTTCTCGGGGCGTTCGCGGTGGAACATGCTGCGGGGAGGGAGAAGAGGTTAGTTTTGGAGGACTGGGAGGCGGAGAAGAGAGGAAGTTACTTGTGTTGACATTGTTCAGCGATGGGTGGGATGAGGTTGAGTCTGGTTGCGACGTCTGTGAGCGGGTGGGTGAGATGTCGGCAGTGGGAGGAGATGGTGGACCCTTACGGTATGCTTCTTCGATGCGGTGCGCAGACCATTCAGAGGTACCCCAGTAGAAAGCCTAGATGACGTGGTTATTACGCGAGGATTATCGGAGATGGATGGGAACAGCTCACCCAGCCTTTCTCGATGACGAAATTGAACGCGCGGACGATCTCTTCCATTGGGACTATTTCTGGGTTTCAGCATCTCTGTGACGAATACGGCGCAGTAAATGACACATACCGCTGTCATCGTGTCGGTGAGCAAAGATGACGTCAACATAATCCAATTGGAGACGTTCCAAAGATTCCTTAGTTCCCTCAATGATATGCTTGCGCGAGAGACCGTTGGCGTTTGGTCCTTTCCTAACACCCCAGAAAAGCTTGGTGGTGACGATGATGTCGCTTCGTCGGAAGTTGAGTTCCTTGATCACACGTCCACTGCGAGAACAAAGTGCGAAGCGTTGAGTAAACAGGATTGGATTGGGCAAAGGCTATGGCGTACATTTCCAACTCTGATTTGCCGTTCACATAGACTTCGGCTGTGTCGAACATGTTGATGCCATTTTCGAAGGCAATCTTCACGATTTCCTGAGTACGAGGGGTAAGGATTCATCCGAGTATCTACCCGTTGTAGGACGCAGGGTAGGATAGTGGCATGGGTTAGGAGGCGATCGTACCTTTACGGCGTCACCTTTGACGGTACCACCGAGGGTCAGCCCTACATTCCGTTAGATTATCAGCAATAAGCTCAGGTATCGATAAGTGTAGGATCGTACATCCACCGAGAGAGAACACGGGCACTCGCAGACCGCTCGGACCGAGACGGCGGAATGGCATGTTCTTGCGGTCGAATTCCCAGTATTGCTGTTGTTTCTCGGACATGGTAGGCAGGCTGCAGGGTGTACGGGGTACTAGGTAAGGTAAGAGGGTGACAAGGAAGAGGAAGGAAAGGAGCGAAGGATTCTTATATACGCGGGACCCCTGGGGGTCACGGTGGGTCACTGTCGCGATCGATGGATGATATCACGATGACAAACAATGCATGGCTAATTTTCCGGATCGGCGACAACAACTGTGGGTTCTTTAGGGTGTTTTGGGTAGGACTGTTGGTGCCGGCATAAGATGGATGTTTGCAGAGAACTCAAATGTGCATGGGTTCTGAGCTGCAGTGTCGCACGGTTAGCCGGCCTTGTACTACTGCTAGGCGACGAGCGAGCAGGTCGTTGCGGTTGATACATCGCTAGTACCAGTGATAATCGAAGCACTCTGTCGTCAAATCTGAGGGTACCTGTTCGGTTGCCCTTCCGAGATCTACTGCGAATGTTAATCCGAGCTATTAGTCCCACAGGTTCAACCTAATTACAAGCGTTCAATTTGTCCGTGAGTACTATAACTAACGGAATACAGAAGCGCAGAGCACGTACTGGTGAAATCGACGATATGGATTTGCCGGTGTCGTGTTTCAGACTTGACACGCAGCTCGCAGCCCCAAAGACAGTCAACTTCAGGTCTATCAGGAGAAACAGTAACAAAGTATATTGAACAAAAGTGAGGACGAAGCATGTTATCCGTTAGTGGTTGTAGTTGGGACGGAAGAGGCGGATGGTTGCGTGAATGTCAGCGAGCGTCGATAGGCTGTGCTAATAAGAAACCTGCCCCAACTGTTCGGCATCTTCCGATCTAACAGCGAAAGGAGACTTCATTCACTGGACACTACTAAATCTCAGGCCGCAACTTGAATCTGACTGTCACAGATCACCATAATTCCCTGGCTTAGGAAGGCGTGCGGCTTTGGTCGAAACTCGTTAGATCGAACACGGGAGAGGAATCTAGAACTGTTGACGAAATTGCTGCAGCCTGAGGATCATATGGACCAGGATCGGGCGATGAACACAGGCAACAGACTTGACCCTGTCGCAGCTGCGTCCTTCTGGAAATATATGAAAATTACTGAATGCCGTCGATGTTACTTCTTCTCTCCACGTTTTCTAGGCCTCTGTCAACCTTTCCGTCGCAACGAGATTTGGATATGATTACAGTGTGAGTACAAGAGGAAAACAACGAAAAGCGAGAATAAATTATCGTCTAGGTCAACCTCAAGACCGCAATACAACATACAACACCTCCAGGGACTACCTAGATATCTAGAACCACCCGCTCAACACTGAAGCCCATATCTCCTTAATACCACTTACTACTTGTCGGTATCCATCACATCATCATCCCCACCTGTGACCTCCTCCGAGATCAAATTACCTTGCTGCTCCTTCAACCACTGTACACTCCTCTTGTCGTCCATAAAGTACGAGTACCCCCTCCGGAGGTCCTCCACCTGCACTTCCTCGCTCTTACGCTTGCGAGCCAAGACCTGGGCACAGGAGATGAGGTTGAGTGCGTAACGGAGGGTGGTCTGGAGTGCCATGCTTGTGAGGACCTGCGTTGCTTCTGGGGAGAGTTTGACGTCTTCTTCTTGACATCTAATGGAGCGAAGGGAACGTGGTTAGTACTGGTTGAATATCGGGGAAAGGAGAGAGAAGGGCATAGGGTGACGCAAGGAGCAGAGGAGGTTGAGAAGTGATACAACCGTGCTGGTCAGCGTTATTTGTGGGGAGAAAAGAAAGGGTGTCATAAGCGGCCTTGACGACGAGAACAAAAGAACAAAAGAACAAAAGAACGAGAATGGGGTCGAGTTGGTGCATGGGCTAGATCAGAGAAGAAACACAGGCAGGAAAGAACAGAGAACCGGAACAACGATATATGTGACATCGTGCTGAGAGAGTAACACACCTGATCCCAATAATCTGCTGAACCTCGTCGTCACTATACGGCTTTGTGCTGACGATCAACACTCGATCCAAGAGATCCATGGGTAGACCGTGGGGACTGCGGAATTTGGTACCACGAATGCGTGACATGCCCCGGTTGGAGGCCATAATGACTAGCGGTGCAAGGTCGCCTTCCAGGGCACGGTTGAGGAATGAGAAGCATTCGATATCGAGCATGTGGACTTCGTCGATGAAGAGAACCTATCCGTAAACAAAGTCAGTTTCTTGGCTAATACCAGCACCCAAGACGAAGAAAGGACGAAGCCGTTACTCACCCCAGGCACGATCTCAGCCTTGCCCTCCTCCCTCCAATCCGAGACCTTGGTGTTGATCTGGTTTCGCAACTCAGGCTTGATCTCGCCAGTGTCACCAGCGAATAAGGCGAGGAACCCTTGTGTGCGGCTGTTGATCACGTCGATTTCGTGTAGGGTCACTGTGTGCACTACTTCCTT